CAGCAGTGTTGATGACTGTAGAGAGGGCGCCAGCTTGGAAGTCGCCACCAGCGCCAGTGCCCACTTTGGTCAAATCGGCCTTGATCTCGACTGTTGTAAAGATGACATCGGAAAGCCAGTTCTCATCGATCATATCTACATAGTCACTACGTATGTCAGTCTAGGTCTATGCTCGGGAGAGCTGGTGTCGTACCGGTGATAGACGATGTGATCAATGACAGCTCCAAGCTTCCTTCCGTCGAAGCGCGAAAAGGTGGCCGACACGCCGACGAGGGCAGGAGCGTTTGACTTGGTCCAGTCAGTCGCATGTCTCAGACCGAAATGCTCCAAGACGTCTAGGTATGTCTGGCTGACAATGTGATGTGCCTCGTCCACCAGTACGAGCTTATAGCGCGAAGGGTCAAACTTGTCCAATCGTCCACCCGATGTGATGCTCTGTATCGAGGCGACGGTTATGTCAGCGGCACCAGAGGCCTGATTGTTGCCCATTTCGATGTCTACATGTTTATTGGGGTATGCAAGGCTGCAATGGCGCGCAGCCTGTTCAACGAGTTCGCGGCGATGGGCGAGGATGAGCGTCTGGGAAGCGTCGCCAGTGGCGGCTATGCGGTCGATGAGGTGGGTGAAGATGACGGTCTTGCCGGAGCCGGTCGCCAGAGAGACGCCGAGGCGCTTGTGGCCGGCATCAAGGTAGGAGAGTACAGCTTGTATGCAATCTTCTTGGTACTCGCGCAGTTGGATCTTCAGCGGCGGGGGAGGCGGAGGAGCGGACGGCAGACTGGGGACCACGGCCTTGGGGCTCTTGGCCCTTCTTGAAGCGTATCTCGTGGTTGCGCGAACAGGCTGGTAGCCCATTCGTGTGCAGTTCCTCAGCACATGCTGGGCGAAGCGGAACATCAAGACGCGTGCCAGGATAAAGTGGGAGCGAAGATGTCGCGAAGTCACGATGCATGACGCAGGTCCAGAAGACGCGGTACGCCGAGGCCTGGCCCCACCAAAATGTTTCCGCGCTCTTCACCCACCATTGCTCCCTCCCATCAACGCCCGCCATGGCCACTATACGCGCACAACCACATGACGTGACTCAGCATATCCTCCACGGAGATACTGAGGTCGTGCCTGCCCTGTCGTATCCGCCATGAGTTCCGCATCCGATTACAAGCATTCCGAACCGTCAGAGGATTCCAGCGAGGAAAGCTCGCGACCGCCTACACGACCAACATCCCGCCGCCAGTCGCCTACGTCACACACACCACGCAAGCGACGTCGTCTAGAGTCGATCGATCCTACCCGCGTACGCAAATACTACCTGGAGGGAAAGTACAACGACGCCTACCGCGTGCTCTTCAACGAGGATGTGAATCGGGCTGCCGCGCGCTTCGAGACCGATGCCGAAAGCTTCCAATACTACAACAGACAGATCGGCGCTTCGCATTGGTCAGCACGGGAACAGGCTGTTTTCTTCGCAGCTCTTGAGCGATTGGGAAGGGACGACATCCCAGGCATAGCAAGAGCGATCGGCACCAAGAGCATACCAGAGACGCAGGAGCTACTGTTATTGCTTCATGATGCTGCCACCAGACAGGGCGACGCCAAGATGACACTTCGTGATGTCCCTGCTGCCATAGACGTGGGTGACGAGTGCAACGAGCAGCTTGATCTTGCGGGTGAAGCCCTAGCGTGGATGCAGGAGGTCTTTGAGGCCAGTCAGGAGCGAGAGAAATTTGGCGACTACTGGCTGATCACGCCTGCTGTGGCTGACAAGATTGAGAGCGCGCACGACACTGGCCGTGACCGAGCGACCACATCACCGCCTGCCAGCGAGCCAGAGCCATCACGGAGAGGCGGAAGAGTCGTCGTAGGGTATGCAAGACCTACCAAGGCCAAGTAGCAACACGCTGACATATCACAGAGCATGTATCTCATGCAAAAAGTTTAAGCAAAAGTGCGATCGAGCAACACCATGCGCCAACTGCGTGCGACGAAACACGGGCGAATGCATATATCCCGAACAAACTCTCAAATCAGAGGCAGGCGACCAATCTGACAAGAAAGTGCCCAAGAGAAAGCACGGAATCCTTGAAGATATTCCAGAAGCCACTCTATTACACCCACAGGTCATGCTCGCTCTCTCCAAGACTGTCTTCATGAATCGCTCGCCTACCATACCATCCCCTTGGCCACATTGGTCTGAATACAGCTCAGAGCTGGCTCGAGAACCAAGCATCTACCGGAGTGCCTTCAACGACTTTCACACACTGGTTGTCTCCGTCACCAAGCGGCTCGTTCAGACGGCTCTCATACAGGCCACTTCACGTCTTCGATCACAAAGGCACCGAGTGAAAGGCGGCATTCCTCTAGTAAAGAAGAGGGATGTTTTGACTGCCATCGATGTCGTGGGTTTGCAGCAGAATAGTCAGGAGAGATGGAAGGGGGTAGCTCGACGATGTGCGCTGAGAGTATACGAAGGCAAATGGTCCCGTTACCGACGCAACAAGACCAAACGAGAGGTACCTTGGGATGAAGTCGAGCAAATCATGACCCCAGCGGAGCCATCGATAGAGCCTCAAACAACAGACGCAGAAACATCTGGCAACGAGACTCCCGATTTCAGTGCAAGAGCCAAGCGGAGCGGAACCCCACTTCCCTTTGATCAACTCGCTTTGTCAGATTCAGATGAAGAATCACTTGTGGGAGAAAGCGAACCCCCTTCCCGAAGCACGTCTCCATCCAGGGATATTGCGAATCAACCCACAACACCACCTCCTGCCATGGTGCCTGAGAAACCTGGACCCCGCAAGTTAACCCTGGGTGAGTTCGATCGAGAGACGAGTCGAAGGGAGGAGCACGCCCTTTGGGACATGCTCGGTCTTGAGCCAAGTGTCAAACGTGAAGAAATCAACATCGGCGGAGAGAGCGACGAGGATGATCTAGAAGAAGGCGAGAAGATCACGACACTTCCCGACGGTTGGCGCGCCTGGACAAGCTGGCGTACCGAATGGGAAGAGTATGACACCCCACCACCCGAGACTGCCTTTCTTGCAAACCAGAAGCCTCTTGATGCCCCACCTATTCTTCAAGAGCACACTTCAGACACTGCCGAGTCTAGTTCCGAAGATGATACAGACGCGCAAACGCATAGACCGAAGCATCGGAGCAAGCCGTCCATTCAGCAAACGGTTGAGCTACAGACCCGCGGTACCCACGCTTATGCTGCGCTACAAGGTCAAAGCTCAAAGCCCGTTGGGTCTCCGAGCCAATCTAGCTCCCAAGAAGATGATACGAGTGATGACAATGCACAAGAACATGGTCTGCCTCAACCTCCCATCGACGATACTAGGGTGGAAGTTCCCACCTCAGAATCAAGCAGCGATTCGACTGATAGCAGTGATTCGGAGTCGCAACGGCCGACGCAGTCTATTGAAGACAGCAAGAAACCGACTCCCAGCGTAGGATCGAGCGAAGTAAGCACTGACATAGAAATGGATCAGCCTGTGCAGTCCGTTGAACCTCGCAGCACTCGGGTTCCTGCGGTGGATTCAGACGACGAGCCGAAAGAGATGGACTGGGAGAGCTTTATCCATGAGTAGTATTTCACATGCTTATTCCAGTCACATCCTACTTAAGCAACAGCTAAAGCAATAATCATCAGATTTTTGATCTCTCGCTACCGAGCCCGGCAATGTGTTGGGTTACTTACTCACAGCAAACGCTCACCTCAATCAGCCTGTCGAAGCGCCCGACCCCCATACTCGTCATGCCTTCTCACCCACTCGAATGAAAGCACGTCATATGCCTCTGTGAATTTCACTGCAATGTCAGCGAGTTAAATTAGGCTGCGAGACACAGCCCAAAAGGATCTGAGCAAGTTATGCGTCACGGCACGTCACATCCATGGCCTCATAGTGCAAATGCTTCCAATTTGCCACGCAGCGAACCTCCACCGCAGCTGTGACTGCCCTTAACTTCAAATAGATGGAGGACTGTACGCATCACAGGCCACAACTCATTCGATGACGCAGCTACATCCGTTTTCCCACCGTCACGAACACGTTATAAATATGTACAGAACCTCCCTTGACTTCTCCACTCTCTCACCACACTATACCTGCAAAATAACCCCAACATATTCAATCTCCTCTTATCAACTCTATTGGACCAGCCTCGCACACCCAGCCCATATCCAGTACCTCAACCCTCACAACCAAGCCATAACCACTATCTCAAACCTCACATCCCCATAAACAAAACAATGCACATTGCCACTCCCCTCCTCATCACCCTAGGCGCTTTCGTCTCCCTCACCATGGCTGGAGAAGGCGGTGCACCCAACCCCAACTGTGGCACGCTTTTCTGTAAGCGCGCACAGGCTATTGAGAGCATCAGGGCTTCGTTGCTGGCGAAGCAGGTGGCCCAGACCAGTGCTACTGCTGCTCCTACCATATCTACTGCGGGTGCGGAGGTAAAGTAGTCGGGTGGTATGTTGTTGTTCCTTGGAGAGGCTCGAATATCGCTGACGGAATGTAGATTGCCGGAACTTGCTAATGAGACGGCTTCCAGAGGCGGTGCCCTTGAGCTGTGGATGTTGAAGCGTGTGGTAATCTATTTTCGGATTATGGAATGACAGGCGCAGCTGAGCAACGGCAAAGCGCCATGCTCGGTGTTTGACGATTCCAATGTGTCATGGAAAACTCATGTCTGGCGGGTTACAAAGGCCACTTTGGGTTGAAGCACACATATGTGTATGGGTCTTGAGTAGCTGTATGAACAGCCAACAGATTTTTCAATTCAGACATCGACACTGCGGTCGCGCGATGATCTCTGCCTGTGGAGCACCGGTGCTGAGGTATGCCGGCACGATACTAATTCCTGAATGGCGTGGTCTTGTCGGTGCGACCCTCGATACACTAATGTGTACCTAAGATCTCTTGTCGGTGCCAAGTTGGACTTGCGTGTGACTCGAATGCATCGTGGCAGTGACACCTATTTCCGTCTCCCTGGAGGGCGAATCTTAAGCCGTCTCCGTATATATTTCGTTATACCAGTACACCTCGTAAGGGCACTGTACCGCCGCCCTTCATGTCCCATTCCGAATATGTTCAACCTTAGTGTCAATCCGATGCATACAACTCCACTCATCGAGATAAAGTTCCTGCACCAAATTCACACTCCCAAACCACTTCTCACCCAGCCCAGCACCCGGCAAATCCGGGTTCAGCTTAAGCGCCTTCGCACTACCAGCCGCCGCGCCATATTGTTCAAAATGCTTCAACGAGTCGATCGCCCACACCATCTGCTCGTCGTCGCGATAATGTTCCTTCAACCTCGCTCGCCTGATATCCTTCCTTATCTCTGCTTCGGCGGTCGACCACGGCGGTGGGTAATCAGAAGGCATGAGCTTCTCGCCCTTTTTGAGGCGCGCATTGTTGGCTTGAATCTTCTTGGCAGTTTTGATGTGCCATTCGTCTTTGAGGATGCGGAGGCGTTCTTGTTCGCGGAAGAAGAGTTGGAGCATGTTCTTCCAGTTGAAGTTGATTTCGCGTGCTGCGACGTCGATGCTGAGGTCGGGTAGCTCGGTGTCATTTACTAGTAGGTCTCCGATGCTGATTGTGTAGTTGGGCATCTCGGCTTTCCAGTTCTTGACGTTTTCTTCCCAGCGACGCGTTACTTTGTGGTAGTGCTCGCGGTCCTTCTTTCCTCCTGCTTTCTCCGAGCCGGGATCTGGTCGCTCATCTTTGAACCACGCTGTGAGCTTATCTTTGCCTTTGCCGCGTCGCGCGAGCCGCGTGGACACCTCTGGCCTCTTGCTCTTCCCACCCAGATTGTACTTCTCGAGCTGGAAGTCTATGTGTATCTCTTTGAGAAAGTGCTCGCCGAATGCATGCTCGACACATGCGCGGAGGGTAGGGGAGACGCGTCGCACGACATTCCAGAGGTGCGCGAGGTCGGTGTGATAGCGGAAGACGTTGATCCACACCTCAGCTGGCAGGGAGGGACAAAAAAGTTCGCGAGCCGTAGTTCGGCGTGGGGCTTTCGAAGCCATTTCGAATGCATGGCCCAGGGCGTTTGGGCCACATGATGCTTCTCGTTCTGGCAGTCTGGTGTGTGCCGTAATGAAGCCCAGGTTTGCGAGTCAAGCTAGTGACGTAAGCAGGGCCGTCATGACACTAGGTGGCAGAAATCGCATCGCGAAAATGCCCACAAAGGAGCAAAAAAACATGTCTGATCTCCCCACCATGAGTCGAACAAGGGACCTTCTGATGACAGCAGATATTACAGTCAGACGCTCTAAACCAACTGAGCTACGGGGAGAATACTTCAGATTGAAGTCGTGCTTGCAGATGTGAAATTCCCAAGATTTATCTTTTATATAGTTGTTGGTGTGACACAGATGCAAACTAGGTCACATCTAACTCACAGGAGAAAGTATCCGTGCGAGCGACAAGCAATACGAAGCCTGTCATACTCTTGTGATGGTGCGGGGTCCACCTAGGCACCCTAGAGATCGGACCAAAAAGGAGCTACATCTGGAACAACCGCAAAGCTATCGCCGCCATACCGTATACCAAAGTACAACTTAACATCCAGCCCGAACCAAGACCGGGCCCCGGTATGAGCCAAAGGCGAACTCTATGCTTCGCATGAGGGGCACATATGGGCTCAATCTAGAAGGCTGCATCTTCATTTGCACCGTTCGAATCATTGCTTGGATCATCAAGCAGCCACGCATTCGAGGAGCACAACCTTGAAAGCCTCTTGACGGCAATTGGCTTCGCGAGAGGACATCTGAGCAATGAGCCAATGATGGCTTATCTCACCGCATATGGTCCGGTGTTCGCCCCGCCTTGTATCCTGCAGTTCAGCTGAACGGCCGCAGCATGATAACAAGAGCTCTCTGTCTGTCTTCATATCCCCGCCTGCTTCTTCGCCCTTCCCTCACAAGGAATCATTCTTGGATATTCAGCGTCATTCCTACCCCAGAGCTATCTAGTCTCCCCCCTCGACTGTGTCTATCACAGCTCCGAGATGGATACTGCACTTTCTCCAGCCTTGCGCGTCGTTTGCGCACTCCTCTTCCTGCTCAGCCTGGTCGAAGGTTCGAACAACACTACAGTCTCAGAAAGCGGGATCACGACGTATACAGGATGGCACAAAGGCCCAGCTGAGCGCGGTACGGTGACAATCCTTTGGAGTTGCCTAACTACCGTATTCGCCTGTACTTGGACCGTCCTTCACCTTAACGTTCCTTACGTTTCCGACCGTACATCGACGAAGTTCTGGCGGAAGACGAAATGGATGGCAGTTACAGTCATCTTCCCAGAGTTCATATTCGCAAAAGCTGTTTGTGAGCTACAAATGGCCATCGAAGACCTGCACAAACTTAAACAACAGGAAGTAGCCTTCGGGTGGAAGGTGGAGTACGGTCGTGGCTGCCGATTACTATATCGGATATACCATCCCCACAAAACGTCATTGTCGCGGCCACCATCTGAATTACTGTCATGGAGCAAAACGTGGACTCTGACACATTCTTATTTCGCCAACATGGGTGGTATAGTCGGAGACCCCGGATCGAATCGGTACGCGTTGGTCACGGCGCATGCCTTGGTAGAATGCTGTGTTCCCCGGAAACACAAGCCTCTCGGTAACCTTCGTCTCACCAAGGAAGACATTCTGGACAAGTCAAAAGCAGACGACCTTTTAAAGACGGTTGCAGCACTCCAAATCTTGTGGTTGATCGTCTCCGTCATAACGCGAAAGGTGTATGACTTACCAATCAGCCTGCTGGAAGTCTGCACTGTAGCATTTGCTACCCTTTCTATAACTACTTACGTAGCGAATTTGGCGAAACCAAAAGATGTTGATGTACCCGTCGTTTTGTACGACAGCGTCACTCATAGCAACGACATGAATCTTCTTGACCTCTGCGGCGACTCCTTCTTCAAACAGATTTCTAGGCCGACCGAACAACATGGTGCCTCACCTAAGAAGCCTCGCATCAAAAACGACATGCTGAGACTTCAAGCGCATGGGACCCAACATGTCACATTGATGTACGCACTGGCAGTGTCTACAATGTGTTTTGGAGCCATTCACTGTGCTGCCTGGCAGAATTACTTCCCAAGTGAAGTTGAAATGACTCTTTGGCAAGTTGCAAGTGTGCTGTCATCGACATTGCCTCTGATCACCTTGCTCACATTGATTATTTCCAATCACATGCTGGGGATCACAGCCCACAAAGTCATCGCCACTATGGAATCTTTCGTGGAATTCCCAGTGAAAGATGCTAGCAGGCCGACCCAAAAGCCTGAACGCGGCACAAATGTGACATGTGTGAGGCTCGCGTGGATCGTCGGAGATCTTTGGGTGGAAAAGAAACTTGGGGCCCCTGTGAGTCATCCGCTAAGTGAACTATCTACTCATAGTTGAGTGTTGGTTGAAGGAGCATGGCTAACGCTTTCTCAGCATCTTCTCAGCCTCGAAAAGTCCATACGAGCTCTCATCGAGGTGGGAAATAGGGTGGGAAAGGGCGAAGCATCCCGGTCTTGGTGCACAAACTATCTCTTTTATTGGGACCAATTAAGCCAGTTCAGTTCGGACACCGTATACGAATTGGTCAATAATCCAGAGGATGTCTCGAACTTTAGAGCGGTGAGCTATGATACACAGATCAAGAGGTCGGATTTGTCCTCCGAAGAGGCGATGCAGCTAATTCTTGAAACTATCAACAACCCACCCGAAACATCACAAAAGCTTTACGAAGAATGGAGACCCTTAAATCAAGGAGTGAACCGCGTGTCCAGCATCCTAGCATGGCTCACAGGGTTTCTATACGCTGCAGCACGCCTCGCCCTCCTCGCCATAGCTTTTGCAGCCTTCCGCAAGCAAGATGAAGGGTTATACGTAGACACATGGGCACGCTTTCTACCCAGTATCGGGTGAACCATTCGCAGGCAAACTCCACACCACAACAACCAGCATGGCCTAACACAACACTCTATACCACGCATACAGCATCGCATGCTTTCGAAGACTACCCGCCACACCCGTCTTGGAAACGGCAGATACGCAATTACATCGCTCGGGTCGTCTCTAAGGTTCCGTTACTGAATACACTGATGTCACTCCAGCACATCTGTCCACCCCAGGGCTACGCCCAGTAGATCGGGGACTTGACTCACTCCCAATCAGCACAATCATTAGTCTTTTCGGACAACATTCACTTCCAACCATCGTAGCTCAAGTATTCCACATGCAGAAGGAACAATAGTAGTATGTAGAATATATCATTCTGTCTCAGCCATACTGTAAAATCACACCAACGCTTTTCCTCCATTCCAAAAGAGACAAAGCGCCGATGAACGAACTTCCAATTTGTGTTCGTGTCCCCAATATCCCACATCCCTCAATCCCAAGGTGGTATAGAAAACCAAAGAGCAGCCACCCAAGCCCTAATTCATTACCCCGAAAAAAAAAAGCGGCCCAAAGCACTAAAACGGGCACAGCCCCCTTCCCGAAGGAACAAATCGAAGAAGAGAAAGGAGTGGTGTAAAGACAAAATACATGAAGCGTAAGATATAAAAACACACAACGAAGCGAACATGTAACAAGCATAAGGAAAATGATGGTAGCGAGGACGACGGTAAATAGCAGACTGGTATCGCGCGACAAGCAAAAACAAGATTTTGTATCGGTCGGCATAACAGGGACGTAAGAAAAGACATAACGACGTAAAGTAACGACCGTATCCTGGCCGCTTGTGATCCCCCCGTTAAACAACAAGGGACAATCCGAACGCCAACGGGTATAGACAATATCAATATCGGGTTGTAGCAGATTTGTTCTAGGCTGCCGAAGCACGTAACGCGGCCTCGGGTGGTGTAGGAGGCAGTGGCATGGTGGGTGGTGGAGCGGGGAGACCCATGCTCGATGGGGGTGGTGGAGGTAGCGGCATGTTAGGTGGTGGTGTGGGTGAAGTTAGGTTGCGCGGTGGGGCGGGCAGTGTCGGTAATGGCATGGTTGGTGGTGGGGCGGGTGGTGGTAGGCCCATGGATGCGAGGCTCCGTCGGGGTGTGATGGTCTTTTGCTGAGCGAAGGCTTGCTGTCGGAGTGCTTCGACACTGGGTGTTGGTCTGTGATTGGCAGAGCTGGATGATGGGGTAGGTGCGTTGGACATTCTTCGGCCAGGAACGAAGGACGGTGTGGATGCGATGGCGCGGATTGGGCGGTTTGACAAGAAAGGCGCGTGGTCGGCCGAGCGTACTTGTACCGAAGCAGGACGACGCAGTTGTTGCGATGCTTGCGCGGAATGCAGACTGTGTGGGTTGGTGGTGGGCGTCATGTTCGAAGCTGCGGACGGTGGCCGGACAGGGGCAGTCACCGATCGGTTCATGACCATACCAGATGGCAAAGGTGAAGGTGTAGGCGAAGGCGTGAGAGAAGACTGCCGCCTTGGCAGGATAGTGGATGAGTCGCCATGCTGTGCTTGAGGACGTACTGGGAATGGGCGTAAGAAGGGCTTTGGCGAAGCAGAAGTCCGGCGACGAGTCTTGCTGTCACCAGCACTGGCAGTAGAAGCATACATTGGTGCTGGCCCCATCATTGACTGACGTTGAGCGGGCGGCGGAGGTACCGGAGCAGGGTCTTTGGGCGGAGGTGAGATGACATCCCGTCGTGGTGGAGCGCTGTAGATGTGCGCGTTGAACCGTACTGGGCTGTCCTCGCGAGTGGGTACAACGTCATCGCTGTCAGTCTGAACGGGAGTATCAGTCTTCGTTTGAGAGGGAGACGAGCGGGCTGGGTTGACCACCTGTGTAGCCGGCGCGTTATCCACCGTGCTTGAAGCCACTTCCTCCTTCACCGGTACGACCGGGCCCGCGACGAACGGCTTCCCTAGTTCTGGCACCGTCGGAGAGGCCGGGCTGTACAAGGAGTGTCGCTTGATTGTAGAGGGCACCGTCGTGGTCTGGATCAAGTGCTCATTAGTGATTGGCAAAGGCTGCATTGACCTGCGGCGAGACGACATGGAGTTACTGGGGTTCATGTGGAATGACCGCAGCGACATGGCACTTCGCATGGGCTCACTGTCTCCAGTGGTGAACTCGTCTTTGAGAGGCGAGTGTGGTGCTGGAGAGGACTCCCGGGATGTATTGCGGGTGCCAGCGCCTGAAGCTGACGTCGCTGTCGACATGAACGAGTATCGTGACCGTCCGCGAAGCTGGTCAAGCTGTACTTGATGCTGAGAGACAGGCGTCGAAGCAACGGATGACATTTCGATTGAGATGCGGCTGTTATTGTTGTTGTTATACCGAGCCGACTGTGCACTAGAAGAGTCGATGCTGATCTTGGTCTGGTCCTTTTCACTGGCGTCCCATTCGGAGGCCACGATCTTCGGCGACGTCGAGAGCTGCGGTTCGGTGGACACGATCCTGCTGACAGCATTCGGATCGCGGTTGACCCTGTACCGATGACTAGTTGTCTCCGAGGAGTTCTTGCCAGCGGAGTCATCTGTAGAAGAGGACGCTCGCGGGTAGTCATCCTTTGCCTTCATGCCGCCAAGGTTGTCGATCTCCTTACGCACACTGGTCATCCACTCGTCCATCTCTTCCGCACTCTCCAGAACGAGGAGAAAGCTTGTGGCCGTCTTGCGCATGGTGGCATTTTGTGTTCGCAACCGAGCGAGAAGGGAGTTCTTTGGTCCTGATTCGAACGTTCCATCGTCGCTTGCGTGGCTGGATATCTGTAGCACCCAGTGCTTGCCAGGTATGAGATCGCACGCAAAAGCCGCTGATTCCTTGCCGAGTTTGAGCACCTTTTCAGGCAAGCGATCGAACGCGCCATCACCAGCATACTGTAGCACAAAGCCGGCCGTGACCAGAATGTAGATTTTGTTGACGAGCTCCGGAGGTTGTGGGTTCAGCACCGAGTTGGACATGAGGCGCTTGTGGTTCTTTTCTAATTTCTTAGTCTCTGTGCCGTTCTCTGCGATGGTAGACAAGTCGCGCTGGATGTCTAACTTCTCGCGCAGCGATTCGGCCTGTCGTCTCTGACTTTGTGTCCTCATCAGTATCTCCGGGGCGAACACACATGCTTGTACGGTAGCATGCTTTAAAGATTGCGGGAAAGCCTGGAACAGCGGAGGTGGATCCCAGTTTCCGAACTCGTGGTGTAGTACAGCTGGTCGCATCGAAACGGGTCGGAAGATCTGGCTTGAGCGTGCGCGAATCGTCTGCTGGGCGGGCGGAGAAGGGTTCTGTCGAAGAGAAGACTTCGGTATAGAGATCGGTGCGGTGGGCTTGGACGGAGTCTGCGGTCGCATTGGTACAGCAAGGCCAACCTCGGTGTGACCACGAGCTTTCTCTACTTTTGGTTTACTGAAGAGGTTGAATAAGGACATCTTGGAGGCTACGCGTTCCACTTTCTTCGGAGGTGCTATCGACGGTGTTTGTGATGCGGCGGATGGTGACCGTGCCGGTTCCTGCAGAGTCGCAGTGGATCGATTGAAGCGCCATCGAGAGGACATCGATGAGCTGTGAGTCTTGTTCCGCATGTTGCCGACAGAATTGGACGAAGCAGCATAGATTTGGCCAGACAGTGCGGACATGGTGGGCGACCTTGGCTTTTGAAGCCGGCAAAGTACGGTCGATACCAGAGCAACGTTGGCTCAAACGGTAGATGTGGGCGGGTAATCCAGGTCGTGCAAATTGGTTGCACGGGCAATCCAAGCGTTCCTCAAGACCCTGACAGGGTAGGCTTGCATTCAGCGTAAGCAAACCCTCGGACCGAAGTAAAGTATGGAGTTGGTAGAAAGTAGTTTGCGACGGGAATAATAGTGTCGTGATGGGATATCGCGAGATCAGTGCGCCAGTAGAGAGTGTGGAGATTGCCAGGTTGGGGGTAGAAGGAGCGTGGTATAGGTGGCAGGACTATGATACTAGGAGAGGGAGGGATCAAACGAGAGGACAGGACATGAGCCCCTAGAGAAGCAGAACGAGCTGCAGATATGACGGAAGCAGAGGAAAGCAGACGGAACTGAAACGACTTGTCAACGTTGAGTTGAGTCGTGGAGAGGAAAAGTGGCAAGCGTTAGTTGCCGCAGATGAATGCTCCCTAATCATGGTAGCGTACAGGGGGAGCTGTTCCCAGGTTCCGTCGTGTGTGATGCGAGGACGCAGGGGCTGCACGAAGGCCCCTTTACGGTCATTTTCAGAAGAAAGTTGGGAGGGATGCGATGGCGCCGCACGCTAGCGCTCGCCTGGCCAAAGTTGGTGTGTTTGACCTGGCTAGCCGGTGAAGTGTCGGCACAACGTCTTTTGACAGTGCTCGCAAGCTACATAATAGACTCGACGCCAGCTGCGGCGAAGGTGTGTTGCCCGGACGCAGCGGAACCTCATCAGGCTCCGACTACGATGAAGATTGTCGACATGCAGCCACGATGTTTCAGCGGCAGCCTTGGGCCACTCTACCCAAGGCCGTCGCTGAAGCTTGCTGGCGTGTTGGCCCAACGTGGAGATTTGATTGCACCGCGTCGTGACTGGAGTCGAGGCCTGCACGATCTACGACACGTCGGCTTGAATGATCGCCGACAGTCAATACTCGGAGATATTGGATGGGGTTCGCAAGCTCGATATTCCTTATTGCGGAACCCATGGCCCCTTCCCGCCAAACATGCATCTCAGAACATGTGGTGAGGGCGCGAAAAAGCAGAGTGTGGCACTGCGGCAGAAGTACCCGGGGAGTGCTTTATGTAGAGCGACACAACTCGGGGCGTTTTGCATAGTGGTGATGTCGTCTCAGGTGTGACGCAGACGGCGAGGTGCATGCACCTATCGATTATAGAGCGAACAAGTCCATCAGCTGCACAAGGGTGGCATGCACAGAGGGAATAGTGCGAATCTTATTGCGGCGCAAGATTTCGCAGGGCTGGAGCGAGGAAACAAGAAGGAAAAGGAAATGAGGCTGACCTGGGGAGGATGCGGCGCGGGCGCAGGTACCTTGCAGTAGCGCTGGCCGTGCTCAGGGCAGCCCAGCTGTCACGCTTAGCCCCGCTCACCCCACCAACCTCATCGAACTGGTGCTCAGCACGAGGTCACGCGTCTCTGGTGACTTCATCCTATGCCTGCGCCTCATCCTTAGGGACGGCACATCACACCACCACCCAAGCGGTCCTAAGTACCATGGCGCCCGATCTGAACACCTTGCCCGCGTCTCCCCATGTATCTCCCTCACCCCGCAACCAGTCACCCACAAACTCACGCACCATGGCTACTTCACCGCACTCTCTTGCTGCCACTGCCGCTATGAATGCAGGTATTCACAACGAAGAGACGCGCCGACCTTCTTCTGGTAGCATGCGCAGGGATGTCGAGCGTGCGCGTCGCCGGTCAAGCATTCGCATGAACCTCAACTTGAACGACCCAGCTATCCCGGCACCTGGAGAAATGCAGCAGAGCCCATCCTCCCGTAGCAGGGGTCCATGGCCGCATAGCCCGCACCATGAGCGTGCGCCTAGTTTGGGAGAGCTGCACCAAGAGCTGGAGTATGAGCAGGAAGGACAGGTGGTGAGTCTTACTACGCGGTGATTGTAGACAGAGCGGTGCAATCGACATCTTTGGCTGCTTCTCTATCTAGCAATCATATCTGTACTGACATATACAGAACCGACTACTCAACATGATTCGTTCTCAGCAAGCCCAGATCAATACTCTCCAAGCAAACCAGCAGCAGCCCTCTGCTTCCGCCGTCGACGACAGCACCCCAACCTCGGAGCGTTCCATGTCTATACCTCCCTCCCTCACACAGTCCACACACATCTCTCCACCTATCGTCTCACCCTTGCCATCCGCTACTCACCCTCGATCTCGCTCTCCATTCGGCTTGGGTACCATCAGTCGCCAGTCATCATTTGCCGACCGCTCACGACACAGCAGCCATGCCGGATCCCCAGCTCTGCGTCCTATATCAGGCCAAGCAGGACCCTACGACCCCCATGACATGCTTCCCAGCCCAGCAACTTCGAGAGATGAGAGTGCTTTCTACCAGGCCGAAACTCAGAACCTAACCCGGGAGAATCAGATGCTGAAGCTAAGGATAAGAGAGCTTGGTATGTCGTCACCCGGTTACAACATTCGATAACAGTGCTAACGCAGCAATCTTAGAGCGCCAACTAGCAGACCAAAATCCCACCAGCCAAGTCACCCACTCCCCCACCGTCCACTCCGGCCTCGCTCCTGCCTCGACTCGCGAAAGTACAGATCAGGATAGCGAGGGCGGTCAGCCACCTGCATCGGCGGAGTAGGAATTTTCGCTAGACTGTGTTCCACGGGCGTTTGGTTCGGGCGCCTCTCACGACATTGACGAATGCTGGCGCAGGAAAAAATAAGTCATACTGCATGGTTACATGGCGTTCAGGGATAGTCATCCAGTACGAGAAAACGAGTCCTTTAACCAGCAAATTCGCTGGATGTAGTCAGAATCGAGGTTCATTACCTAATATCCCGACTTATTTCTTCATTTGCACGCATGAAACCGCAATATCTCACTTCCTCTTCAGCCTAGCCTCCAGGTCTACCCACGATTTGCTCCCACGATTCGAGTGCACGAAACTCACCATGCCAACATGATTCTTTTCATACCATGCGAGTGGTCCCACCCATCATCAACCCATGAATAGAACCCTCGTACGAACCCTATCCACCCACTTTACCACGCCCATCCCAGCACCAAGGCCATCCCAGCACCAAGGCCATCCCAGCATCCAGCCCCCTCCACCTCACCAGCCACGCCAGCCGTTCATCCCGTCTCCCCACCTCGACGTAAGCGAACTACCGTAATCACCCACGTGTAGAGTTTTTCGCGGGACATGAATCGACCTTGTTTGATGTACATTAAGCGTTGCCTTTACGCCCGCGCGCAATCAATCGATAGCGGGTAGAGAAGCAAAAATATGTCGACATGACATGGAACCCCGCTTCGGATTGATTGGACACGTACCCCGCGTTGTGTACGTGGCAGTGGCTTTGATGGTGACAGTGCTCTGGTAGATTTTTCTGGTTTAGTTGGCAAAACGTTGTCAGGGTGATAAAGTGTAACAGGTTGAAAAGGTGGCGAAGTAGAGGATTAGCATGGGGGACCTGTGTAAGTAGCAGGCGTATCAGACATGCAAGTGAAAAACATGTCGAGTGATCGAATTGGAGTATGTAGCAAGAAAGAGTCGCTACGCTGAAGATGTACAGTAATCATAATATCCACAGGCACCCCAGACCATATAATCCGCCTCCAAAATCTCTGCTGCGTGCATAGATGTGGATGGATGTGAACCGTTCTCGTAAACGCCAGTTACTCCGTCCCAGCTAACCCATGCAAAGTGTCAAACCGCTTCAGTCTGATGAGTACGTGTAACACGTGTCTGCCTCTTCTTCTGAGTATGTGCAGTACTCTTTATGGACGAGTCCTACTCCTCCTCTACCTCCTCCACGGTTGCGCGCGGCGCCCGTTGTGTGACGGCACCCTCTGGGGCGGCTTCTGATCCGGTGGGCTGTGGTGCGGAGTTGACGGGCTCGGAGGCGGGGGCAGCAGCGGGCGCTGGTGCAGCTTGAGCGGGGGCAGCGTCGATGGCGCCCTTCTTGGGCTTTCCACCGGCGGCCTTTGCGGCGAGTTTGGCAGCCTTCTTCTCCTTCTTTGCAGCCTTCTTCGCCTTGATGTCTTCGGGGGTCTGAACATATTAGCTTTGAGTCTACAAGCTTCAGCAACGAAAACATACCTCTTGCCATGCCCAGACAGGCCGGAACGAGTCAAAGAAACCAACATCCTCAAACAGATTAGGGTAGAGCCAGAAGCCAGGTGGTATCGCGAAGACGGTGATGATGAAGATAATGAGCCGAACAATCGCCATGGCGAAGAACAATCCGATAAGACCAAGCATGCCCATACTCAAGTACCACACGCCCTGTCGCAAGAAAAGCGGCCATAGAGGGAACAGCACTATCGCAATGACGAGAAGCAGTGCGCCAGCAGCGTACAGCTTCTGCTTCCATTGCGACCCCTCGTATAGCCAGATGTAGTAGTTGTCGTCATTCGCGTCTTGGTGCTGCTCGATCTTGACTGTCCACAGACCCTTGACGCGCTTAGGCTTGGCATGGTTGTGGCCATCGTGCGCATGGTCGTCGACCTTTGTGACTCGCAGCGCGAGGAGAGAGAGGGGTAGCAGCTTGAAGCAGTTCTCGGCGGAGGCACGGTCGATGACTTCGGGGAGGAGAGGGTTCTTTGCTCGGGCTTTTTGATATGCGGGGGACTGGAGGGCACGGATTGCTCGCTTGACTGTTGGGTGTGAGCATGACGTCTATAACTGAGGTAGATGTAATGCCTACCTTTGAACATGTCCTTCCTCTTCTCGTCATGTACGACTGTCCTAGGCTTCAAGTCCTGCGACTTCAGCCAGTTGGCGACGGCAATAGCTTCTGGCTTAGGGGGACCGGGCTGAATGGGCTGCTGCTGCTGCTGCTGCTGAGCACGCTGTTGCGCCTGCATTTGCGCCTGTTGCTGGGCCATGGCTTGCTGGCGCAATCTTCCGACGTATTCTTGAACCGTGATACCATGTTTCGCCGCCTCGGCTTCTAGTTGCATCTTGATCTGGTTTATTTGCTCTGGCGTAGGCTTTTCGCCATTGGGTCCGAGGGGAATGGGAATAGAAAATGAGCCTGGTGGTGGCCCGCCTTGAGGGGGACCCTGCTGCGGTGGGGGACCTTGCTCTTCCATGGTGAAAGGGAGACTCGTGACGTTCGGTGAGGTGAGTGCAGCGGTGCCTGTGCGGGAATCCTTTGGTGTGGAGGGCGTCCAGAGAAATATAGGCTCAGTGTCTGACCACCGTGGAACATTCGTAATGATGCCACATTGCGAATGGTAGGGCCGAGCGCGGCATGACTAAGCCACCTCCGATGGAATAAAATCTCTGCGGGCTGCAACTCTGGTTTACAACATCGCAAACACCAACTTCTACCACAATTCTTTCTCGTCGCATTCACAACTGCATGCATTCATCTGCACTCTGCCGTCTGTTACTCTCAGCCATTATCGCTATTGCATCCGCATGCAAATCTGCCAATGAGCAGCGGCTGGGCGCACAGTATACAGTCAGGGACCCATCGAACTACATCTCATACTAACCACGGCTCTTCTCTCGAGTACCTGCATTTACTCTACGCCTTTGGCTATCAGGCGCACGTCTGGCCATTGCGGCAGGGCGTTGATGCTCGCCTAGAACAGCGCCGCGTCGTGTCGCCTGGGCGCATGCAGTGCTTCCATGTGCAGGTCCCGATAAGCAAACTTGGTTATCAGAATCAAGCCAGCTCACTACGTCGCTGCCTGGACACGCTCCGAACCATGTACGCTGGCATGGTTCTGGCGGCGACACATTATGCTCGTGATATTCACTTCACCAACACTCTGGCCCTTACTTCCCTTACTGTATAGGCCTATTTTGGTGTGAAGAAGAGGAAATGACCCATTACTCACCGCGTTGTCTTGCCTTTTGGTTTGGCTCCAGTGGTCCTTTTTCGAGGTCAACATACATACACATTGAGTTCCTGCTCATGGATCGTGCGCTGTCGAATACACAGCTTCCGCTCCGTCCGGTGCCGCTTTCTTGGTACGCTATGCGGATCGACATGCGCCTGGCACATGAAACATGGCATCAGTGATGGGTTACTATAATCGTGGTTCGACATGTGAAGACAGATATGCAGTCGTCTCAGTCAGACAAGCAGCTGCAGCCGTATGCGGCGGTAGTCTCGCCTAAATACAAAGGGCGTTTCGGGCGCCTCCATCCTCCATGATCAGAGCTCCAGCAAGAGGGCCGGCCTGTCTAGGTGACAAAGAACGGGCACGGCGGGCTGTTGGACGATGGATGCATGGTGGTGGCCCAGTGGATATTGCGGCACCTGCATTGATGGACGCGCTGGTGGATTGGAAAGCTGATTGGCGCTGGAGATCGCCGTGAACGTTGGATGGGACTAGGGCCCTGGTAAGCCGCCGTCTTTGGCGGCTTGATGGCTCTGCAGCCCGCCCAGGTGGAGTTGGCGACGCGCGATGCGGAGAGCATCAGGACCGACTTTTCTTTTCATCGAGTCGGTGTAGCAGCGAGCGGTATTCGCTATTCACGTGTAGCTTCTGGCATGTACAAGGCCCGCCATGCTCCTGACACGTCTTGCGTAAAGCGCGATCATCGATCATCGATCATCACCGGAAACCCCCAGACGGCCTGTCGTGCTGCAGCAGGGATCGCTCCAAGCCACCACTCGAACGACTGAGTGCATACGGAAGTGGATAGGCCTGCCGCTGCTTTGTCTCCGCCGCACCACACCTCGTCATCTCTCGCGCCCGCCTATCCGCCGACAGTGAGAAAAAGCAGGCATCGCCGCATCTGCTGAGCGCTGACATTCTCGCCCTCCGACTCGGGCGCTGGACAGCTGCAGACACGCTGCCAGGCAGAGACGACGTGACGGACCGCTGCTGCGCCCCCGGTCGCAGCCTGTACCACGCTTATCCTGTGCCCCAAGCCCGCTGCTGTGCGCCCTCTGCGCAGACGACTCCCGTTCCGCGACACGACGCCCGACCGCGTCCCACGAACGCGCAAACTATCCGCCCGTGAGTGCGCAGCCACATAGCCGGCTCTGGTGCATGCGAGTGGGTACATTCCAGACAGACACGTCTAGGGACCCGCCCTTACATCTACAACACCGGACACAGCTCCTCGCCGCATATCCTCATCCATCGCGCGCTGACGCCTGAGGCCACCGCCACACTCCGCTCCCATCCAACCCCGCGAGACACCCGTCATTACCGGCGCCGTAAATAGACGCCTAGTTGCTACCGACAGCATCTGCGACCACCTGTTCTCACACTACTACCGGGGTCTCTGCTGGTGACGTGCCAGTACGGGGACGCCCGGTGCTGAGGAATCCTAGCCGCTCCCCAAAAGACATGTCAGTCGTAGCAGACAGGCGACGATTTCGCGAAGGCATCGGCACCAGTCCCTCCTGGTGAGGCTGTGTCGTTACCCTGGACCTCTGAACACCACACGCACGACTTGTCTGATACGCTGGCTACGCCCCAGAGTCCCTCGAGCGGCTCTCCCACCATGACTATGGTTCGGCAGTACCCCCCGCAGCCGCCGTCGCAGCTTCCCTCCTCCGTGGCCTACAACAACATCGCTCCTGCTCCCGCCCACGTCCCGTTCCTCCGCAATGCCACCAACCTCGAAGGACACAGTCTCGCCCAGCAAGCGAGGCCGCAGCAGTACGCCCACCCGCTATCTCGACACAACTCCTACGGCTCCCAGCCCTCCGAGTCTGGCCGGACTCCCAAACCCGCAGAACACATGCTTCGTCGCAAGACGCCCAACGGAATTCTGGCAGCTGCGTATGACGGCACATCTGTCGAAAAGAACGGAGAGCCGCATGCGACCAAACACATCCTGCTTCCCGTGACAGCTGAATCAAAACCACCATACGGTGTCAAGCAGGATCTGCCTCTTCGTTCACCAGGTGTCAACAGTGGCCTCGGTCACGGTCAACAGAATACGCCAGAATGGAGTCCCAGTCGCTACTTCGAGACCGGGTCGGGTCTTACAGGCCAGCACCTACCCCAGATTGATTCAATGCTCAATCAAATACCCACATTACAACCTCTTCTACCATATCAAATGTATGGCCATCCCTTCTGCGGGCCTATGGGTCCGCCCTTTCAGGCGCCGTTGAACCCGACTGTTTCCAACGACCAAGGACCATTCGGACCCTATTGGCACGACGGCACTTACATCCCATACCGGCCTGCTGCTATGCGGGATCCCCGTTTCCTACATCATCCGAGTCACAACTGGAGTCACCCGCACAGTAACGCCTTTATCAGTCACCCTTACAATGTTGTGCCTAACTATGCTCATTACCCGCAAAATCCCGTCCACCTAGATTATACCCAAGGCGCCTACAATCATCCAGCGAGGCCGTCAATAGACTTATCCCCTTATGCACAGCCTCAAAACCATGTCGCGTTAGACTATCAGAATCAACCGCTACCTCCACCTCTCACACAGCGTCCTCAAGATTACATGCACTCTGGTCAGACGACGCCAGTCGCGGAGTACACCCCCACCATGCCGACCGACGAGTACGGGCCAGAGTCACCCAACGGGCAAAGTCGGGAAAAGGTGTTTGCTTGGGCTCACGCCGTATATGTGGACCTACTCAAGTACCTTCAATCAACGCGTAAAGTAAATTCGCAAAATGCCCATGGCCGTACACACCACAGACCACACATTTATCCTAAGCCGCCACGGCAACCTGGACTCAGTCTGTCGAGTTCCTCCACTAACAGCGTTCCATCTCTGGAGCGACGTGTCTCATATCCTATTCCTACTCAGTATGCCTCTCACTCAAGGGCAGATTTCGGATCTAGGAGACCTGCAATGTCACACTCACGCTCCCTGTCCGCGTGGTCCGTAGGCAGTACGGATGCAAATGGCCAATCATGGCAAGGCGTGCCCCCGCAACACTCTATGCTACCCCCAGTGCCAGGCATGGAGCCACCACGTACCTTGCGGCGGACCTCCGGCTCAGTAGCCAGCGCCCATCAGAATCTCCGTCAGGGCCTGCCTCCGAGTATGACCGCTGCCTCAGCGCTCGAAGCGATCACGAAGCATTGCGAAGAGAGCAAATGGAGCTGGATAGATGGCATACTCTTAGGCGGTTGCCTCGCATATGCGCTAGGTGACTATCAAAAGGCTCAGGACTGGTACAAACACATTCTTACCTTGGACAAAGAGTGAGCATCCCACTTTCTATCCCCGAGTCATACTAACGCACACTAGTCATGTTGAAGCTATCTCGAACCTTGCAGCTACAATGCTTGCTCTTCAGCAGAAGCGTGAAGCCGAAAACTATTGGAGACGCGCAGTGAAACTTCGACCCAGTTACTTCGAAGCTGTCGAGCACCTAATTGGCTTACTCTGCAGTGATCACAAAGGCCGTGAAGCTGTTCAGGTCATCGAAGAAGTTGAACGCCATTTGAGATTTGCCAAGAGGGCCGATGCCCTTCGGAGCCTCGAAGTTGAAAGCGAACGTTCTGCCTCTGAAATAAGCGAGTCAAGTCTGTCGGAGGCATCTGATCGGCCCGTGTTTGAGTTTGAGGGAGAGGATGAAGCCGTCTTCAAGGATCTAGACGAGCTCCCTGGCTCGGACCAACCAGGCTTTGGTTCAAGCGGATATGCCATTGCTGGTTGCGACAACGGTCGCGTTCTAGCTCTGGTGCATGCCAAGGGTAACATGCTATACGCACTCGGCGACAATGCTGGTGCCGCCAGGGCTTTTGAGAACGCGGTCCTGATCGCATCTGGACCTCATCCTAATGGCATTGATGGCCTCATCAGGCGCATTCTTGGCGTCGTTGGATACAGTGTAGCGGAGCGCTCTCCAGGAGGTCGTCGTATGCCCCCATCGTCTGATCCTATACTGTTACCTCCGGATGCAGCGACCAGAACGGCTTTGCTCTGCTTCGCGCCGCACGGCCAACTTCCGGGCCTCAAATACGTTCCTAGCGAAGGTCTCTCTAGGAAGGCGGCTATCTCGACTACAAGCAACTCTCTGCTGTCGTTAGCAAAGATTTTCCAGGACGGCATGGCAACCAATTCACCCAAGAGTACCGTTTACCAAAGTAACTATGGTGTCCGAGAGATCTTGGCTCTATACTACCTGTCGCTTTCCCTGCAGCCCAGCCCATCGACAGCCAACAACGTAGGCATTCTCCTCGCTAGTGTACAGCAATCCGCCCCTTCCAAAGCCAATGCAATGTCGCATGCGTTTGCCAATC